AGGATTACTCGACATATCCTCACAGAGCTCCGCTTGGTATGCGGTTAGCAGTGAGGAAACGTTCAGAGCCCTGGCGGACAACGCTGCGGCTCTGTCGGACCGTTCAGTCATGGTCGACTGGAAACGGTCCACCTTCGCTGGCAGCGTGGGGTTCCTGCTTGGTGACGGGCCCATCCTCGGTAGGAGGCAGTCTAGGGAGGAGGCATCATGGATTGGGGCCTTGTTGCTAAAGGGTCAGTCCCTCCACGAGACCGACACCTCATCCAACATCTCCGGGAAGACCGGGAGGAGTTGCCTCCTTGTCCTCGTTGCTTCCCCTCGTAACAGGACCTGGCGGTCTCCTTGGCCATTTCGGGCCACGGGATGTCTAGCCTGGACGCAGTGCGCTGACACGCGGCCTGCAGGTCCATGCTCAGACAGGGCGAAGCTGGTTTGCTATCGCCCGGGAGAGCAGCCATCGCTCCCGGCTTTGCCATTTGAGCCGATGACATGAAGATATCTTCTTCTTGCTCATCCGAATCAGACAGGAGGGACTCAGAGGTGTCCTCTTCGTCCTCCATGTAGTCTAATTCCAGGACATCCTCCGCGGGAGAGACCATGGTGAGGTCTCGCCGGGAGCTCCCGCCTGGTGAGGCGTGGGGCTCCGTTCCCGCGTCTCTTGTCGCCACCGGGTCCCGGCCTGACACGGCGTGGGATCCCGGTTCCGCAGCTGCCGCTGTTAGTGAGCCCCAGACCGACACAGTGAGGGAATCAGTCTCTGCGGCGGACGCCCCTGTGTCTTGATTGCCAAATGGCGAATCAGTGGACATGAGGGAGTCCTGTTCCAACAAGCTAGCTTGGTGTGCTAGCCGTCGGTGGAGGCTCTTTCGGGGTGAAACGGGCACAATGCCCGCACGAGCCGGGGTTGTCGATAGCCTCCTGGGCGTGTTCGAGCCCGAGGCAGGACGTGCAGACCTGGTGTGAGTCTGTGCCTGCTATCTTCAACCAGCAGCCGCATGACCGAGCCTCCGAGTCCCTGACTCCTCTGGTGTGAGGGGGAGAGGCGTCCATCTTGTTCGCCTCGTGGCGTGGAGAGGACCCGCTCGTAACATGTACGTCGTTGAGAGAAAAGTGTTACCAACCCATCCTTAATCCGGAGAAAAAGGGACGGTGTGGGTCCTTTGTTCTCAAAGAATATTGACTGGTGTGTCAATATACTTCTAATCCTTTTCTCCTCCGTGAGAGAGAAAAAGAAAAGCGTCCTCGCTACCGTGGTGTCGGTAGTAAGGGGAAGCTAGCTAGCAACAGGTGCGTAGCTAGCTTGAGAAAAATCAAAACCTTACCTTACTTTCCGGGGAAAGAAACGGCGAGGTCGATTTTAATACTAACTGGCGTTAGTATTACCGTCTTCTTGCGAAGCAGAAGGAGTAGCCGGCGAGCGCCCGTCGACCGAAATGTTTTGGATTTGGGTTCAGTCTGTGGACTGTTAAGCTTGTCCGGCTACTGTAGAGATGTGCTCTGAAGCGAGAAGAGGTGTTTGAATGACGCATGCGTCGTGGCGCAAGCTACTTATAGGGGATGAATTCCCTGACGCTGACGTCAAGATCACCAGCAAATCAGGATTGGCGTAATGAGATTGATGCTTCTGTTTGCTCCGCGATGAGGCGCATTCCATAGTGAGACATCGAATGGAGTGTTATGAATGAGAACAAGGTTATGAAAAACAATAGGGAATATCTGAGGATTGTTCAACACCATGTCTGATGTTATCTTCCAGTTTAATATGACAGATGTAAATGTGATTATTCAACAAATGAGTTTGCACATTTTTATGATTTTAAATCAGCATCACCCAGCAACCAACAGGAGACTTATCTCTTTACAAATCTTCAGTTATATAGGCCCTAGCCACACGGAGACGGTAACGAAAACGAACCGAATTCGATTTCAAAAAAGTCTTCCATCCACACGCAATCGGCACCAGAAACGTGTCCGTCCACACGAGACCGCTGGAGAGGCTGTAGTACATATGCCGGGCCTGTAAGTGGCGCTGTACTTCCGCCACACAATACACCAAAAGCAGCGAAGAAGACTTCAAGAGCATGCATGGTTGCCCTTCTGTTTATTCTCCGCAGTAGCAGAGGTGGGGGAGAGGCAGGGGCCAGGGCTCTGGCTCTTTTTCTCCCTCCCCGAGGCAAGCGTGTGCTCCTGCTGTAAATATCCCCGGTAGTCCACCAGCAAATGAAAAACAGATGAAAACGGTTCCCTCTTCCAAGGGACGAGGGAACCGTGCGGCAGAGTTTCCGTTAGAATTCGCAGGTCAACATGTCCGTTAAAGTTGAAATCTTACGGACAAAATGATAAAAGTGCCGGTCAAAGGTCTTCTTTGCTATATTGAGCTTTAAAACAAATGAATAACAACTCTATATAATAATATAAGAATAGAGAACTGTAGCGGATACGACCCGTATCGTCTCCGTTTGGCTGCAGCCATATGAGTTGAGGATGCGTGTGTGTGTGTGTGTGCGTGTGTGTGCGTGCGTGCGTGCGTGCGTGGGCAGAGCAGGGCAGCCCTGTACAGAACATATAAGAGTAAAGAGATAACTGAAAAGTGTGTTAACAGGACAGACAGCTAGGTATTTTTCAAATAACTTTGATGTACAGGAAAAGTCTGTCTCTGATGTCCGGAACAGCAGAGACAGTGTAGAGCAGATGCATGACAGACACAACTTCTACTGTTCCTCTCGGAGAAGGGTACGGGTTAGGCTAGATGAGGCCACATGTTAAATCCCTGGAGCGTAGCTACGCTGTATTGGAATGTGGAGCTTTACAGGAAATTGGGCCACATGGTGTAGACCACATGGTGTAGACCGCAGGGATCGAAATGAAGAGTAATGTCACAATCTTCCTTGTTATATCAATATAAGTTATGTTCTACAACACTATAAGATCGTGTTCATCTAACAAGATATTGATGATCCACTCAATTAAACTGGTAATTTTCCTGAACATAGGAAATTATTTATTAAGTGTATTCATGACCCATTCATTTTACAACAGCAAGGACAGTATAATTGCTGTCCAGGTAAGTCCAACTGCAATCTGAATAAAAAACTCTCAGTTTAAAATGTTGTGTTGCATACAAAATGCATATGCAGATGGGTTTTTAGTTGCATCAAGAAAAAGGTTTGGATTTGCTCTAGGTTAAAAGCATAGGCTACGTCTGTGTTTCTTTAAAGAAATAGCTGATCAACAGAACATTTACCACAACCTAGGAGGATGATTCAAAGACTGCCAAAGTAAAAGCCTGTGTGTGTGTGTGTGTGTGTGTGTGTGTGTGTGTGTGCGTGTGTGTGTGTGTGTGTGTGTGTGTGTGTAACCTTCAATTGCTCCCTGCAGATTCGATTTGCTGCTGACACATTGTGCGTCTTAAATCAGATAGATGGCCAGGGCCTGAGGGCACAGAGCACCCATTTCCCCTGGTGCCCTTATGTAATTAGCTTTCACTTAGCACCTTAATGCTTTGCCCCCCCCCCACCACAAATTACCCACATGAAAGTCTCTTCCCTCCCCTTTCACCCACTCTTCTCTCGACTCTTCTTCATTCCTCCTTTCTCCCACCCACAACAGCATGATTTAAAGCCACTTGCTTCTCTCAACAATTAATTATGTATTACCACAAATGCATCTACTAATAATAGCCTAACGCCCCATCTACACTACAGGCATCAAAAAATCTTGAAGCTGGGCGTGTCTGAGGCTTAGCGATTTCTCGCGACCAACAACCATTACATTACATTACATTGCATTTAGCTGACGCTTTTGTCCAAAGCGACTTACAATAAGTACATTCGACCAGGAAGACACAACCTTGAAGAAAACAGAATCATATAAGTACATCAGGTTTCATAGAGCCAAACATTTCAAGTGCTACTCAACTGGCTTTAGGTAAGCCAGTCCTTTATTTAGGGGTGCACCGAATGGGAAATTCTTGGCCGAAACCGATACCGAAAATAGGAAACAGTTGGCCGAAAACCGAATGCCGAAAGAACGAAAATGATTAATAGAAATATATATATATAATGTATACATTGTTTACCAATGTTGTTCAGCTACCTGATTATGGAAATAGACATGATTATGGCAAAACTTAACTTAAATAATAATCACTATTATGGGTCCATAAAACATTTATTCAGCACTTTTGAATGCATACAGTACATTTATATATGTCATGTATTATTGCTAAAAAACATTATATCGCAGTCTTAGTGTCGCCAACTCGTTTCTAATATGCAAAGACAACAAATGCGTCTATGATGTATTTTCGATCAGACGAGATCTCTCTCCCCCGTCTGTGTGCGAGGGGGCGGGGCAGTTTACACACACGCAGCTGCTACATGCAGCGGAGCACACTGCGGAGATGGCGGAGAGAACGCGCTCCGAGGTGTGGTTAAACTTTACCCGTCTCGATGTGGAGAATACTTGTTACCATAAGTGCAATAAGAGTTTAGCATGTAAGCACGAGCAATTTGTCTAAACATTTAGCAAAAGTGCACCGCATGCAGACGGAGGAATGTACCGGGTTCGACCGTCTTTCTAGCAGCTCTGTAGCCCCATCCACGAGTAACGTTTCCACGTCAGGTGTTATGTATGCTAGCAGCAACACACGGAGTTAACTACATGATACAAACATGGGTTAATGATTAGAGGTCACTGAGTTATTTAGTTTGTTAAAATTTCAGCTATTCTGTTTACAGTCTGTCATCAGATTATTTAATACGATTTGTTAAAGGCTCAGGGCAATCTCGATGACAAAGGTCAATGTTCCCCCCCCTGTGAGCCAGCCGCGAGCATGGTCGCCGCGTCTTTATTACGTCATCACAACAACACGTTACGTTACCAACGTAAGCCTGTTCTGACATTCGGTGATATTTTTTGGTGCTAAAACCCTTTCGGCCGAAAGGGCCTTTTTAACCATTTTCGGCCGATAATTTTCGGTGGCCGAATATTCGGTGCATCTCTAATAATAAGTACTGTTCCACCGTGTACTCACATCTTGTTGGAACCGTTTCGTTGTTACTCCAAGCTCATCTTGTATTGGCTCAATGCGAGAATAGGCCAGTTGAGAATGTTTGAAGTGACCAACAATCTTTCTGCTTATGGCCAACAGATCTTTTACGCTGCGTTGAGCCAACACTCCCTCGTTCACAGCTAATTGCAGAGTGTGGGCCATGCAGCGTATTCCACTCAGATTGCATTCTTCTATAGCTTTAGTCATATTTATTGCGTTATCACTGACTATTGCGTGCACTTTAGGTCGGTCGATATGCCATGTGTCGAACATATTGGCGAATGTCAAGGAGATGGATTGTGCTGTATGAGACCCCCTAAACTCTTGCGAATGCAGCAGAATCTTTTGCAGTTTAAAATCCTTGTTGATCCATTGTGCAGTTAGACTGAGCATACTGGTGATGCTTACGTCTGAGCTCCATATGTCTGTCGTGAAGCTGATGGCTGTAATATCTGTAGCCAAGAGCTCATGGATGTGATTAGCAACGACATTGTACAGTTCAGGTAAGCACACGTCTGCTAAGTGTCGTCTGCTAGGCAAGGAATAACGTGGCTCAATATGCTCAATAAGCCTACGAAATCCAACGTCCTGTACGACAGAAAACGGTTGATCGTCCATAGCGATGCATTCCATTAACTTCCGAGTAATGCCCTTTGCCTTAGGACCATCACTGGGAAACTTTTTAATCTTTTCAAAAAGGTCCGCCACAGAAGGAGTCGGGGTGCTGGGAAGGACTTTTTTTTTCTGTGCGCTGGTGATTTCATCATACTCCGTATATTGGTCCGGGTGTTTAGATTTCAAGTGATGGAGTAATCCCGAAGTGCTGAAAGTCTTTGAAGTTACACCCCCTCGAGAAATGTCAGCTGAACACGTTTTGCAAATCGCAATCCGCGCCTCTTTATCTGATATTGTGAAGTATCTCCAAGCGGCAGACATGTTGGCTGTGAGCCAGCCGTGAGCATGGTCCCTGCCTCGCCGCGTCTTTATTACGTCATCACAACAACACGTTAGGTTGCCTGTTCTGACATCCACGTCAGGTGTTATGTATGCTAGCAGCAACACACGGAGTTAACTACATGATACAAACATGGGTTAATGATTAGAGGTAACTGAGTTATTTAGTTTGTTAAAATTTCAGCTATTCTGTTTACAGTCTGTCATCAGATTATTTAATACGATTTGTTAAAGGCTCAGGGCAATCTCGATGACAAAGGTCAATGTTCCCCCCCCCTGTGAGCCAGCCGCGAGCATGATCGCCGCGTCTTTATTACGTCATCACAACAACACGATACGTTACCAACGTAAGCCTGTTCTGACATTCGGTGATATTTTTTGGTGCTAAAACCCTTTCGGCCGAAAGCCGAAAGGGCCTTTTTAACCATTTTCGGCCGATAATTTTCGGTGGCCGAATTTTCGGTGCATCCCTACCTTTATTAGTATAAAAGTGCTTCGTTAATAGTTCTAACGCTCGAAGTGGAGTCGAAAGAGATGAGTTTTCAGTTTGCGCCGGAAGATGTGCAAGCTATCTGCCGTCCTGATGTCAATGGGGAGCTCATTCCACCATCTTGGAGCCAGGACAGCAAACCCACGTGTTTTTGCCGATGGGAACTTGGGTCCCCCTCGCAGCGAGGGCGCAGCGAGTCGTTTGGCTGATGCAGAGCGTAGTGCACGCACTGGGGTGTACGGTTTAACCATGTCCTGGATGTAGGAAGGGCCAGATCCATTCGCAGCATGGTAAGCAAGTACCAGTGTCTTGAAGTGGATTCTAGCAGTTACCGGAAGCCAGTGAAGGGAGCGGAGGAGCGGAGTGGTGTGGGAAATTTAGGAAGGTTGAAGACCAGACGAGCCGCTGCATTCTGGATGAGCTGCAGAGGTCGGATGGCACATGCAGGTAGACCAGCCAGGAGGGAGTTGCAGTAGTCTAGGCGTGAGATGACGAGAGTCTGGACCAGAACCTGAGTCGCTTTCTGTGCCAGCTGGGGACGTATCTTCCTGATGTTGTAAAGCGTGTATCTGCAGCAACGGGTTGTAGCAGCGATGTTTGCAGTGAAGGACAGGTTGTTATCTAGGGTCACACCCAGATTCCTTGCAGTCTGAGTCGGGGAAACAACTGAGGTGCCGATGTTGATTGTTAGGTCAAGAGTGGGACAATCTTTTCCCGGGAGGTAGAGCAGCTCAGTCTTGTCAAGGTTGAGCTTGAGGTGGTGAGCAGACATCCACTGAGAGATGTCAGCTAGACAAGCAGAGATGCGTGCAACCACCTGGGTCTCTGAGCGGGGAAAGGACAGAATTAATTGGGTGTCATCATCGTAGCAGTGGTATGAAAAACCATGCGGGCTAATGACTGATCCGAGCGAGTTGTGTACAGGGAGAAGAGGAGGGGACCAAGAACAGAGCCCTGAGGGACCCCTGTAGTTAATTGACTAAGGGTCGGACTCAGACCCTCTCCAAGTAACCCTGTAGGTACGGTCTTTCAGGTATGAGGTGAGGAGGGAAAGAGCAGAGCCTGAAACTCCATGTTTTTGGAGAGTGCGAAGGAGGATCTGATGATTCACCGTGTTGAATGCAGCAGACAGGTCCAACAGGATGATGACAGAGGAGAGGGATGCAGTTTTGGCAGTGTGCAGTTCCTCCGTGACAGCAATGAGAGCAGTTTCTGTGGAGTGACCTGCCTTGAAACCAGACTGGTGCGGATCCAGAAGGTTGTTCTGATTGAGATAACAGGAGAGTTGTTTAAAGACAGCGCGTTCAAGTGATTTAGACAGGAACGGGAGGAGAGAGACAGGCCTGTAGTTTATAACATCAGACGGGTTGAGAGTGGGTTTCTTTAGGAGAGGGTTTACTCTTGCCTCCTTGAGACTGTTTGGAAAGTGACCAGAAGTTAGAGAAGTGTTGATGAAATGGGTGAGAAACGGTAGAATATCAGGAGCGATAGTCTGAAGGAGGTTTGAAGGGATAGGGTCCAGAGGACAGGTGGTAGGGCGGGCAGAAGTAATGAGGTTAAGAACCTCACTTGGAGAGAGAGGGGAAAAGGAGGTTAGTGTGTTGGTGGAAGGAGGGTCTGGTGACCCAGCGGTGAGTATAGGTGAGTCAGAAAAAGAAGAGCGAATATCATCAACCTTTTTTTCAAAGTGGGTAACAAAGTCGCTTGACAGAAGTGAGGAGGGGGGAGGGGCTTTTGGAGGGTCCAAGAGGGTGGAGAAGATGGAAAATAGTTTTTTTAGGATTGGAATAGGAAGATTGGATCTTATCTTGAAAGAAAGTGCTTTTTGCCTGAGAGATCGAAGCAGAGAAAGAGGAGAGGAGAGCCTGATAGGTTAGGAGGTCGTCACGGTGTTTGGATTTCCACCATTTCCGCTCTGCTGCCCTAAGGACGGTTCTATTAGCACGCAGTGCATCATTTAGCCAGGGAGCAGGAGGGGACTGACGAGCCTGCCGAGATGTGAGAGGACAGAGAGAGTCCAGAGAGGATGAGAGAGTAGAGAGGAGAGTTTCTGCAGCAGAGTTTGGTGGCAGGAGTTGGAACGAGTCAGAGGAAGGGAGGGCTGAGAGCACCGACGAGGCAAAGGTAGAGGGGGAGAGGGAGCGAAGGCTAAGGCGGACAAGTGCAGGATGAGAAGAGATTAGTTTGTTATGTTTGGAAAGGGGTAGAGAGAATGAAATGAAGAAGTGATCGGATGTGTGGAGCGGGTTTACAGAGAGGTTAGAAGTAGCGCAGTTTTATGAGTCGGTGGGGACGGAGACAGTGAGAAAGCAAAGGAGGTTAACAGAGATGTTATTTCGTCTATCTTCCCCGTCTGGAGGTTGAAGTCTCCGAGAAGTATAGCGGGAGGGCCAGTTTCAGGGATGTGTGAGAGGAGATTATCTAATTCCTCCAAGAAGTCCCCCAAGGCGCCTGGTGGACGGTAGAGAACAACAATATAGGATGGGTTACTGTGACGGCATGGAATTCAAAGGTGGAAGGAGTGAAATTAGGTAGTTTGAAGAGGGAAAAGCTCCATTTGGGAGAGAGCAGGAGACCAGTGCCACCTCCTCTGCCAGTGGGTCTGGGTGTATGGGAGAAGGAATATGCAGTGGAGAGAGCTGCTGGGGTGGATGTGTTGGATGGAGTAATCCAGGTCTCAGTGAGAGCAAGGAAATCCAGAGACTGCAGGGAGGCGTAGCCAGAGATGAAGTCAGCCTTAGGAACAGCTGACTGGCAATTCCACAGGCCACCAGAAACTAGATGTTGGATCTCAGTGGAGCACGTGGGATAGACGAGAGCAGGCCGGTTATATCGATTAGGAGATACACGGGGCCAGTGATAATTGCGAGAAGACACATGAACAGGAATGGAGAAAATACACATGATTATAGCATGAGGGGCTAGAAAACTAAAGAAAAGAGAAATAAGACACCAGCTCAATCAGAGTAGGATTTGCCTCCCTCGTGACTCCCGCAGGACTCCAATGTCTTTGTCAGTCTTACTCCCGCAGGACTCCAATGTCTTTGTCAGTCTTACTCCCGCAGGACTCCAATGTCTTTGTCAGTCTTCGGCTGTCTGACGCTGAAGCTGACGCTCCAGGAAAGAGCTACCCGAAATGGACGCCTGATTGCTCAGTTCTCACAGCTGTAGGGCCACGCCCCTCTAATTAGTTAACTATCTACAGCTGATGGGCGACAATAGACTGGCCCTGCCTATATTAATGCAGGCTTGAGTGCTGAGACCTGTGAAGCAGGTTTCGCCTGAGCAGATCTGAGATTTAAAATCTCTCAAAAGCGATTTAGCCGTTTAAGCTACAATAACAATTATACAGAGTCGAATAAATGAAACAGAGAAGTCTAATTAAACAAGAATATAACTTACAGTGGTTGCTGCGTCAATAGGTAATGTCGTCACCGGGTCCAGATGCACACTGAGTTCATCAGATTTTAAATGCGGTATTTAAATGCTTTTTAAGGTAAAAAATGACTGAGTCACGCGGTTGTACTTCACGCTATCAATAGACTGGCCCTGCCTATATTAATGCAGGCTTGAGTGCTGAGAGCTGTAAAGCAGGTTTCGCCTGAGCAGATCTGAAATTTAAAATCTCTCAAAAGCGATTTAGCCGTTTAAGCTACAATAACAAGTATACAGAGTCGAATAAATGAAACAGAGAAGTCTAATTAAACAAGAATATAACTTACAGTGGTTGCTGCGTTAATAGGTAATGTCGTCACCGGGTCCAGATGCAATCAATCACATGAATCTCCCGCCCCCGACATACAAAGCAATAGCAATGTTAAAACGAAGTAAACTGGATATAAAATCCCCAAACAGACGAAAACCTACCAGTTTCACCCACTGTCTCTGCCACCTCCCTCCATGCCTGGTTCCTCCGGTTTGTATCCCGGTAAATAGTTCTGGTCGTAAAGAACCGGGTGATTTGCTACCGTAATTTCTCGTTTGGAATATGAGGAAATTAACTGCGGTCTGGCTCTCCCAGCTTGCACGCGGTTTGATTGGCTAGCGCTTGTACTGGCGGGATTTGCATAAACGGGATTTGATTGGCTGATGCCAAGCATCGAGCCTCAAAAGTTGAACATTGCTCAACTTTTGATGCTCGCGATGCTTGCAAAGCCACGCTCCGCTCCCCACAATGCAGTTCGGCGAAGATTCAAAAACAACTACGTCACCCCATTCAAGTGAATGGACGAAGCGTTGAAAGCATTTTTCGATGCCTGTAGTGTAGACGGGCCGTAATGCTGTGTTAGCATTTTAAAAAGAGCAAATGTTTTCAAAGAACAGTTTTATTGTAAGGTCACTTTCCCTTGTGTTGCAGGCAGCAGTGACATGCAGCATGTTAGCCGACAGCGATTACATTAAGCACAGCTGTATTCATATTTTTCAAGGCCATAAACATGTAAATAGTGTAATGTCTAATGTTCACTCACACAAAAACAAGGAAGCAAATCAAAAGAGACAGCAATTTGTAAACTGACTAAATAAAGAAAAAGGGAGTGGAAAGGAGTGGTTTTGCTGTGGTGCAGTGATAAGATAAACATCTAAAACTCATAGTTTGGCTTTCATTTACTTGACAAAAACATATAAAAGCTTTTAACATTTCACAAAGCAGAGAATGAGGGCTGTATACAGCACACTTTACACTAAATACAGAAGCTTTAGGTCTGGCCTGATACAGATCATTCAAATCAGTGTTGGTGTCTGAGAAAACACAGACGACAACTAGCTAACATCACTGCCAGTGAACGGGCGCCATTGACTTCTTTCATTCAATTAACATTATATGACTGCCCGCTAGCAACCATTGAATAGAGCTGGCCTGGCACTAACGTCAACCAAAGTGTGGTAGCTTTAAAATTGATCTTTTCTTCCTGTTTCGTCTCTCTACGGAG